AACCTACTCTACTCCCGCATCGGTGCATGTAACAGCCTCTTCACTATGATACATTCAACTTGACTGCCGCTGCGTCAGTGGCTAGGAAAGGGTGATAAAAGCAACTAGCAGATGCTGCGGCTGCGAAGCAGGCGCAGGAGATGCGTCGTCAGGTATCCTCCGTAGGTTTGCTAAATTTCAGAGCTTCATCGGGCAAAGCACGACTTTGTGTTTTTTTAACCAATAAAACAGTACGAGGTTAGATGAGTCCTGTAAGCCAGCCGGAGCAATACAAAGATATGCGTAACGCCACTAATTAGGCAAGTCAACATTGTATCACTTGCATATTTTGCATTTACCCTACAAGAGCAATGGGCTTAGCGAAACTAGAGTATGGAAAACAAAAGAGCCAAGGCAACACCAGTGGCAACTTTTAAGAAGTTTTTAAAAACTGAGAATGTAAGTGATGAGTACGTACACATTTGCATTTGACGTGATGAGACTGGAAAGTGTTTCATATCAGTGATGAATATGTTTGGTATGTATCTTGCATTTAATGAGGGCAAAAAAGGCAAGCCGTTGGCTCGAAACACTTCAATGCAATACTACCGGAAAGTTAAACTATGGCTACTCGAACAGTTCCCTCAACACAGACCCGCACTTGAGGCTCGGTTGCTTAAATGGGGAAAACACTTGACAAGTTTTGAATGAAGCGAGATGGTGGTGGCTTCATCACCAAGGCCCCACAATGCTCAAAGGGCGATTAAAAAGAATGCTTATGTACTTTTATGTTAACGCTAGTTGTCCAAGTGACTATCAAAACGCTGCCTTACTCTGCCTGCTGTGGTATCTGTTCGGCCAAGCGTCCGACCTTGCGCTGTTCCGGAAGCAGAACTTGTCCATCGACGCGGGAAAGGTGATTCGTTCGCTTCATCCGTATGAAGGCATTCGAAGACCAGGGCCTCTCGATGTTCCCTGACTCGGACTCCGCCACGTGCCCCCTCCTCCCTGTCGCAGTGGCACTTCTCACCCTGGTAGTCCCGTCCGCAAACATTATAGACAACCTGGCCGAACAGCCAAGTCCTACCGCAATCGAGCAGGACCCGGGCGTGCCGTTGCTGGAGATGTTGGACCACCCGACCACGACGGAAGAACTTGCTGCTCCAACTAATTCTGACTTGGACACGACCCCGACCACATTCCCCGTGTGAACCACGTACAGGTACGCATCGCCAAGCCGCCTGGTGTGGAGGCTGCTCTGACACCCCGCTCGTTTCGTCAGGGCGGCGCTCAGCACACGAACACTTGTGGTCAGCTCACGGCTCCCTGGTACTTCGAGCGGGGCGCCTGGAACTTGACTACAACAAATAAAGGTTTCAACTACATCTTCAACATCAGCACAGAGGACCACAAAATCAGCAACATACTCAGCGGCCACGGGGCTGAAGCACATGTGATTCTCCAGAAGCTTAAGTCCTTCGACTCGCAGACGCGTACCAAAGTCGAAGCTGCTCAGAGTATCCTCTTCGTTACCAGCCAAGACCTTGGCACATTGTCAACCAGTTCGTCCTTGATGTTCTTACCGTGTGTGTGTTGCGTCACTATCATTTGTAGCAGCTTTGCGCTGTGAGAGAGTGGTAAACCGAGGAAAGAACACTTGTGTAGTTGATAGCAAAACTCAGAATACATTCACAGCTTAAGCCGTCACGTGCCGAGCACGTGGTAGGAAATCATCAAGCATAAACCCTCCTTTGACCGCACAAGCTATCCATCGAGCTTACGAGCCTATTCCCAGCTATACCAGGACACGACCATGACATGAATGACTAAGCGATCGACTGGTTGACCTTCTGTTGGAAACTCTCATACTCCTCCTCACTCATGCTCGATGATCTCTCTTTGCGACCAAATCGCTCCGCAGGCGCGCACCAGCAACTACTTTAACTACTTCCTCAACACCAAGCACCTGCCGCAGCATCTCGAACCGCTGAGGTCCCAGCGCCTTGGTGAACATATCCGCTATATTTTCAGCTGTAGGAACATAGTTCAGTGTCAGCTCGTTACTTTCTACAAGCTCGGCAATCTTGTGACTCATCTTCGCGAGCCGCTTGACACCATCGTAATTTTCAACATTTGTGCACACTTTGATCGTGCTCTGATTATCACTGTGTAACTCGGGCATCAAAGGCTTCATGCCAATCTCCTTGAGCAACTCCTGTGCCCAAAGTAGATCCTCCACACACACACACACACTGGTCGCAACCAGCCCAGACTTGCACGTATCATCCGTAACACTGCTTTGCGTACGACTCTTAAAGCCAAAACTATAGATCCCACAATTTTGTTGCACTTCGGTTTGTTTAGTCTGATTGTGATTAATAATATGAACATGTACCTACAGACGTGCGCATTGCAAATTGAGCT